GGACAATATTATAGTGAGCGGAGGTAAACACCGCGAACAGTTATATTTATATGGGCTCGAAATACGAAACAGTCTGATTGGCCAATTGATAGACCAATAGGAGGGACGACAACGCTAACAAAACCGGGCGTCACGAGAGACGTACCGTCAGTTGGCAACAGCCCGTTCGCTTTAACAGTTCGACGTGCGAGAGAATCTTGAAAAATGACTGGACGCGGTAAAGGTGGTAAAGGATTGGGAAAAGGAGGAGCGAAAAGGCATCGTAAAGTTTTGAGGGATAACATCCAGGGAATTACGAAACCGGCCATAAGAAGATTGGCGCGACGTGGAGGAGTAAAACGTATATCCGGATTGATTTACGAAGAAACTCGAGGAGTGCTCAAAGTCTTTTTAGAGAACGTAATCAGGGATGCAGTCACTTACACCGAGCACGCTAAAAGGAAGACAGTCACTGCAATGGACGTCGTATATGCATTAAAGAGACAAGGACGCACTTTGTACGGATTCGGTGGTTAAACACTCCGCAGCAATTACCACGGTACAGGTTGAACGAAAATACAATACAAAGAAAAAAAAAACGGTTCTTTTCAGAACCACCATATACTCTCGTGAGAAAGAATGGATCTGCCGATTGAACCGCCACATTAATTTTCTATTTTTTTTATACAAAATAAAAAGAAACACTCACATAAATGAGTTTATCGGAATATGAGAAATTGATCGACTTATACGTTTTGGCTCTTTGAATTACAATAATCGACGATTTCGGTCCCGATATGTCCCATTATCGAGATACCGGCGAATATTAGACGTGAATGCGACGATGAGATGCCTCGATTAAATAATTTAGTTATTGCCAACTTCTCGCGCCACAACCGATCCGATATCACCCTGAGAAAATTTTTCCATATACAAATGATAATCCCTTCATTTTCTTATTAAATTACTTGTTGGCCCTGAGAAGGGCCGATTGTATGTTCAGAAGTTTTTTTTTTTAGGCTTTCTTCTCCGTCTTTTTCGGCAAAAGAACAGCTTGGATATTAGGGAGAACTCCTCCTTGGGCAATTGTGACGCCTGAAAGCAATTTGTTCAATTCTTCGTCGTTTCTGATGGCCAATTGCAGATGACGTGGAATAATACGGGTCTTTTTATTGTCGCGAGCAGCGTTGCCTGCCAATTCCAAAACTTCAGCGGCCAAGTATTCCATAACGGCCGCTAGATATACGGGAGCTCCGGCACCGACGCGTTCAGCATAATTCCCTTTTCGCAATAACCTGTGGATACGACCGACGGGAAATTGTAGGCCGGCCCTGCTGGATCGGGACTTTGCCTTTCCCTTAACTTTACCGCCTTTTCCGCGTCCTGACATATTCAATTTGTTAATCTGCTAAACGAACGACGTCGACTATGAACTTGCAAATGCACAACATGATCTCCGCGAACGTTGTATTTATATGAACTAACCGACCAATCGACGCGAACGTTTGCCGGCAAACGCCTGGGGCGGAGTCTACGGTCGTAACGTCACCTGTCCTAAATACGGCAGAGAATTGCAGTCGTTTCCGTTAGTCGAGCGTTGGTGTCGATTATACTCAGCATCATCTCACAATAAATGCCACCCAAAACTAGCGGTAAGGCTGGGCCAAAAAAGCGGGCAAGGCGCAGAAGAATATCCTCAAAATCTGACAAGAAAAAGAAGCGCAGGAGGAAGGAAAGTTACGCATTTACATCTACAAAGTACTGAAGCAGTACATCCCGATACGGGTATATCCAGCAAAGCGATGAGCATCATGAACGCTTCGTCAAACGATATTTTCGAACGTATCGCTGCGGAAGCTTCCAGATTGGCACATTACAACAAACGTGCCACGATAACTAGCAGAGAATTCAGACAGCCCGTACGACTATTGCTACACGGAGAATTGGCCAAGCACGCAGTCAGCGAAGGTACCAAAGCCGTCACCAAGTACACCAGTTCAAAAATAATATAGACGTTGTATTCGCTTCGACGGTTATACGGTTCGAAAAATAAGAACAAAAAAAAAACGGTTCTTTTCAGAACCACTATGTTATGATAAAATGCAAAATGATAATTAGCTGTGGTCGTTATTTTTAATCTTTTCATCTATCTCTCTCTCTCTCTCTCTCTCTCTCTCTCTCTCTCTCTCTCTCTCTATATATATATTATATATATATATATATATATATATATATATATATATATATATATATATATATATATGTATAGAAGAAGTCCGTAATATCTGGAAGATGTCACCTGTATCACTGCACTGGGAAACAGTACCGTGATCGTAGGTGATCTAAACGCGAAGTCCACCATTTGGGGCTCAAGAAACAGAAACAGTCACGGGCGCTGTTCTGGAAAGACTAATGGATGAACCTGGATATACCATGATAGGTCCGGACGAACCTACAATATACCCCAGCAACGGAGGTAGACCAGACGTCATAGATATGGCGATTCTGAAGGAAATCGACATGCGCACCACCATCGGCGCCATGCAAGAGGGAAGCTCAGACCACAACCCCATCTTTCTCTGTACGGGAGATGGGATAACACCTGTGGAACAAAGAACAGTGAAGAGAGTGAATTGGCAGCGGTTTAGAACCAGACTGCACTATTCACAAGGACCACTACTACAGATCGAAAGCCCCGAAAGCATAGAAGAAGCGGTCACGGACCTAGAAAGGAAGATTAAGGCTGCGTTAGAAGCCGCAACCACCGTGGAAGACATAACGCAACCAAACAGGTTCAGGGACCTACCTGACGAGGGTAAATCGCAAGATCACCGAAAGAAACAGAGCCCGAAGAGTAGCCCAGAGACCAGAAGCCCCACTGACATCATGGTGGCAAACAGACTTATGAGACAGGCACGAGACGCCTTGAAGCAGCACCATCAGAGCACCTGGGATAAGAAACTCGACGAACTATCTCCAGCTGACCCAGGAATGTGGAACTTGGCTAAAATCCTCAGAAATAGAAGACAGCCCATCCCCCCCAATACACAGCGAACAGGGGATGGTGTACACAACCGAAGAGAAGGCGGAAGCTTTTGCTGACAACCTTCAGAGACAGTGTACTCTCAATACTCACCCCGATGAAGACGAAGACTTCATCGACGAGGTGATGAGAAGATCGAGGAGAGCTGTCAGAGGAGGAAGAGCCATCGAAGACATGCCCTCTCCAGGCGAGGTAAGGGAAATCATCGAAAGACTCAAGGTGAAGAAGGCACCGGGTGTAGACGATATTGGGAACAGAGTCCTGAAGAGACTCCCGAGGAAAGCGATAATGGCAATTACCAACATCGTCAACGCCATACTGAGACACCGGTACTTTCCAGATCACTGGAAAGTAGCCGAGGTGATCAACATTCCTAAACCTGGGAAAGACCCAAGGTTCCCCCAAAACTACAGACCCATAAGCCTGTTGACGGCACTGAGCAAGATTGCGGAAAGGGTAATCGAACGAAGACTGAAGAACGAAACCGAAGAACTCCGAGTAGTTCCAGACGAACAGTTCGGATTCCGATGCGGGCATTCAGCAGAGCACCAGGTCCTAAGGCTGGTCGAGATGGCAACGAAATCGTTCCAGACTCGGCGGGCCGTGGGAGCTGTGTTCATGGATGCCGCAAAGGCGTTCGACACTGTTTGGCATGACGGACTGATCTACAAGATGGTAGACCACGGATACTCAAAGGGGATGATCCAACTGGTGAAGTCCTACTTGAAGCACCGAAATTTCCGAATTAGGATCGGTAAAACAACCTCGACGACGAGGACTGTGGAGGCAGGAGTACCGCAGGGAGCGGTTCTACCACCCCTGCTGTATCCAATCTACAGCTCAGACATCCCGAAGACTCCTCAAACGCAACTGTATGTGTATGCGGACGATACAGCATATGCGGCAGAAAGTACGAGACCCCGCATGGTTACGGAATATCTGCAACGAGCGACCACCAACCTAGAGGAATGGTGCATCAAGTGGAAGATCCGCCTCAACCCGAGAAGACCGAAGCGGTACTGTTCCGAAGAAATCGAAGATTACCTCAGACCAAAATAAAGATGACGACCACCAGAATGGAGAGAGGCTGGAGAAGAGATGAAGAGGTTGAGGTCGACTGGAAAGACTCCAGCACATACCTTGGAGTCAAGATGGACCAGAAACTCACTTGGAAGAACCATGTCGAAGACCGGGTGCAGAAAGTGAAGATGGCACGCTCCAAACTAAGACCCTTAACGGGCAGAAGAAGCAAAGTGTCACTAAAGAATAAGACCATCATGATTCAGATGGTGCTGCTACAAATCATGACTTACGCAGCAGTAGCTTGGGGCTACGTTTCCAAAACGATGAAGAAGAGGCTCCAAGCTCAACAAAACATGGCACTCTCCGTGAAGCGGTGGACGCACCGTGGTATGTACCTAACAGAGTGCTATATGACGAACTACGACAGGTACCGGTCGTAATCCAGATGAGAGAGAGGGCCAGAAAGTTCTTTGAAAAGAAATGTGCTGATTGAAGCCGCCTTGGATTACGACCCAAGAACAATAAGGCGTCATAAAAGACCGAAAAGCCAGCTGCAACAAGAAGATATTTGGCCCTAGCAGCTGATCAGGCCAAAGAAAAGGGGAGAAGACCGACAATAGTTGTACACCCAAGAGGGGAAAGAACAGCCCGTGTACAACGGGTGGACAAAAAGAAGCCTGTCGATTGAGGTGGCCAGAGTCAAGCACGGACTCGGGGCTAACCTCAGGAGACGAATGACTTACAAATATGACTGACTGACGACGACTGACTGACTCCAGTCGACGAGGAAAGAGCGAAGGCTCACCAACCTTTAGGAGGGGCTTAGGTCGAAAGCCCCCAGCGCAGGACCCCCAAGAAAAGAGGCCGGCCATAAAGTCGAGAACCGACAGTTGGAAGAAACGTCCACCACGCGCTTCCGCGACGCGTGCGCGATCGAGTCAAATTTCGGGAAAAAGGGGCAAAATTGGGGAAGGGGGGATAGCTCGTTCGGCAGCACACACTCGGGGAATGCGCAAGCGGCCTGAACCACGCAGCGCCACTCCAGGCCTTTGGGCGGGAGTGGGGGGAGGAGCTGATTGCTCTTCCCCCCACTCCTCAAGGGTTTGAGGTTGCCTGGAACAGGGGTGGTGGAGGGACCGCACAGGGTAGGAGGGTGTGTGTGTGTGTGTGTGAAGACCGTAGCAGAAGAAGAAGAAGAAGACGAAGACCGTTTTGTAAAATAACAAAATTAAGTAACACAATTTTTTTTATACATTTATAGCCCATAAGTAACAGCAGACCGAATATATTGCCAACGGAAAATCCTTTTTATTTTGGTATTCTGAGTTTAATTGATGTTAACTGCCCAAAATTGATTACTTATCGTTTATTCCTTTCCCCGCGGATCGGTGTATGGTAACTTGTTCTAACAGTTAATAGTATTAACGGAGTGTCATTGTTTTTATTGTTCAACAGCGAAATCAGTCAACATAAGGGTATCCACGATTTCCGAAGGTTAATACAGGGTGTCCGCAAAGTTGGGCTTTTCCTTTTCAGAAACAACTACCCTTGAAATAACAAAGGTAATGCGTAGTGAAACGAGGGCCGACCATGTAAAAAAAATATATAAAGGAAAAAGTACTCACTCTCCAGTTGACCCCATTACGTGTGAACGTAGATTCGTCTGTCACCAATATGCACTTCAAAAAGTCCGGATTATTGTCATGTTGATGCAACAACCACTCACAAAACCGCACTCTTGCTGGAAAATCGTCAGGTTGGACGTTTGCCACACTCTAGTTTGTGATACTCGCACTTCTCTAGCCACGTCTCTAGTGCTTGTTGAGGGATTCTCGTCTACGCGATTCAGTAGTTCTTCCTCAACTAGCACCATTCGTGGTTGTCTAGACCTCCCACTGTGCCCACCTCGATATTCCTCCAAATGGCCCGTATCCCTGACTCTCTGGACCGGGTACACAAATCTGCGGGGCCTTGGATGATGTCGTCTAGGGAAAAGATCTGCATACACTCGCGACGATTCTGTATCATTTTGAAGACGTTCATTAATAAATTAACAACATATCAACGAGTTCATTATTGGTATATGAGTGTGCCATTATTATTATATTTATTATACCTCTATACGCGTGACCCTTTACCGTCGGTTGAAGGTTGCATACTGACCTGACACTCGGACCCCCACCCCCGACCCAGTTCTGTCGTCGGGTTCAGCTAGTAGCCGGTACCTGTCTGGGGCATCGCGGCGGGTGGCGGCTACAGGACGGTATTCAGATATTTTTGATGTTGCAGAGCCCTTTATCTCGGTTCCCTTAAGATATTGGTGTATATGGCACTAAGAAAAATTGCTTATGTTTTCAAGATCTACACGTCGTGTAAAGGATAACCCCAACTTTGCGGACACCCTGTATAATAGAATTAGAACCGTTCGATGTATATATTCTTTTCAAATTACAGTTTTTCGATAACACAGCATAGCATGTCCATATATGTATATATATATATATATATATCATATATATATATATATATATATGATATATATATATATCATATATATATATATATATATATATATATATATGTATATATACACGTACATAAACATAGAATCACATGTTTATGTACGTGTATATATACATATATATATATATATATATATATATATCATATATATATATATATATATGTATATATACACGTACATAAACATAGAATCACGGAAACGAAATGTAGTACATCGTTATTCGAATATTCGTACATTTTCGAAGTTCGCTCAAGTATATACTTTCGAGACTACAACTGGAATATTAGTCGAAATATTAAAGATCTACACACTTTCCAATATGACGTTGAATCACTGACCGGACGTACAGCGATATCGGATTGTTCGCCTGCGATAATAGTATGGCCGCTATTAATGGGAAATGTATTTAAAAAAAACTTCTA